ATTTCAAAGAGCCACTGCAGAGAGAACAAGGAGCCACATGTGGCCCCAGAGCCACAGGTTGCAGACCCCTGGTTTAGACTTCACAACTACAATTTGGTGGTCTTCAATTTCCTCTGGTGCTGGGTCATAGTTGTAAATCCCTCTATCAAACTGGAATGGACCATTCTGGGGGCCAGGGTGTGAAGGGCCTCATTTAGATTTAAAGAGACAGCCTCAAAATGAGTTGATCTGAGACACATTTCAGAAAAAGGGTGAAAGAGGGGCTTGTGGAGTTACAATAAGGAGGAATTCAGACCAAAACATAGCAGTTCCACTTTATACAGACCYGAACTGAATGATTTAAATGTGAAAAAGAAGGATTTAAAAGCATGAAATGTCCCTTTAAAATGTAGCCACATTTGTAAAAAATAAAAATAAAAAGTTAATATGTCGTGTATTCTTAAAAGCTTGCCTAATTTTCTTCAAATAGCAAAAAGCATATTGAGTATTGTTTGGAGTCACTTGTTAGATTGGATGTCTGAAGTCAGACAAATTGAAACACTTTTACATTTTTTAATTTAGAAATGTTTTCATTTCATAAACTGTGGGCTCAAGAGAATGTGGAAGAACCATACGCAGCCACAACAGCCTGACACCTCAGGCTTCTCACCAGCTTGGTCACATGCTGTTGTGGAATGGGATCCAATTATTCAACCAGCGTTTGTCACAAGTCAGCTAATGTGGTTGYATTGGTCACTCTGGAATGAAGAAGCTGATGTCMGAGGTGTTCAGTGGGTTAAAGGCGGCCTGTCTTAGCACAAGTTRGGATMCATYTGTSGGCTATAYAAAACACGTTCATTTGATTTAATTCACAAAAAGAACCTCAAATAATGAAATTTCACCTTTTCAGTTCTTCCTCTTCTTCAGCTCTCTCCAGAACGTGCTGTATGCAGAAGTCGCTTTGGAAACCCCCCCTCCCAACCGTTTGTTTATGTTAGCTCCGCCCCCTGACATGGTAGAAGTTTCCAAAGTGAAATTATTTTCACAGACCACAGCTTTCTTTGGCAATATTGTTAGAACATTGTCATCAAAAATAAAAAATAAAATTAATCCAGGCATCTCTGTTCACCACGGCTGCAGTAAAAACAGCACAACTATCGATCTGTGAGGAAGTGGGCGGAGCTTCACCTCGGGTTGCCTCGTGAGGAGCAGGACTCTGGTTTAGGTTTTTAGGTGACTGTTATTGTGACGTCAGAATAACGTGCTTTGAGAAATACCATGCTTCCAGATACCTAAAAATACATGTAATTACAGTTTTAAAAAAACAGCTGGGTGCATTTTTTTGGTGTTTGGACTGCTTCTCTAAGCAGTAGAGACCCAAAAGTAAGTTTAAAAACATGAAAAAAGTGAGTTTTGCTTAATAGGTGCCCTTTAAGTTTAGGATAATGGCAAACCAATCCATTCTCTTCATTCCCAAATTCTTACGGTCTTTGATAAATCCCGCCAYGTAAGGGCAAATGTTGTCATCCCGGAGGACGGAGTTTGGTCCCACCTGACTGTCAGCACCTAGGGTACCAGAAGCTCAAAACGAAAGTCAGTTGCACAATAAGTTGTTTGGCACAGGCAAAGTTTTTCATGTTTACTTAATCACATACTTTAAGAAGGGAGGGTAACATTAGACAAAAGTGTTGAACAGAATCCCTTCTCAAGGTCAACGAAGTTTTGTTTCAATGAGTTGTAAGGGCACCAATAAATTTAACCTCATCTCTAAGTAAAATAAAAAGAGACCATTAAGACAAACAGATTAGTTAAAAAGGAGRCTAAAGGAGCAGGTTTAGTAACTGGGCCTCAATCATTTAAAGACATTAAAACCACAGAAAATATGCAGACTTTTTTTTTTTACCTAAGTCATATAAAGCCCTGTGTGTTTGGGTTCCTTCTTGCTGCTCTCATCAGTGCAGCTTCCAGCAGCAGCTGGAAAAAAGCAGCTGATTTCACTCTAAAAACCCAATGCATCCCACCTGCAACGGATCAAACGACAGACAGATGAAGTCAGCAGAAGTAGCTTTTGGACAAAGTGGAAATTTTAAAGCTAGACTTTCCCTAAGGATGTGATCGAAACCAAACAACCGAAAGAATATTCCTCAGATGGACAAACGCTTTACAGCAAGCGCTAACGAATGTCCTGGACATGTAAACGGGAAACTCTCCGCTRTGTAAACTTAAACAAGATGTGTCGGAAGGAAGGGGTATCAGAAATGAAGGGCTGCCAAGTGTATGAATCAGGCAGACAAAAATCGTTTTTAAAGATTCAAATGACAGAATAAAACTAAAAGCACTGGTGAGCAGGTTGGTCAAGAATTAATGTAAAGATGGAAGGCAGGTAGAAAACTGAGATGGGACCAACACAAATGGAAAAGTTGGTTAAAAAGTGAGCGGTAAGGAACAATGTGGCCCAGATGTGAACCAAAAGTGAAGGCAAACATGGAACAAAYGGTTCCAGCTTTTACAAATAAAATGGGTTTTACACAAAGAAAGGCAGAAGAAAACCAAGACAAAATTTACCACAACGTGGAGAACTGAAGCCCTTTAAAGAGGAGGGAACGATGAAACACATCAATGCTTTTGTGACCCTTAAAGGACAATTTTCTGCTTACTTTGCTGAAATCAGTTTATATTCCTCTGCTATTTTTTTTTCTTAACACAATTCCAGCAAATTTAGGCTGGTTCATATTAAACATTTGCCCATATTTTATAGCATATAGCCCAAAGAGAAGGCTTTCCAACAATCTCCAAGGGAAAAGCTCATCTCAAGAAGATAATATTTTAACATTGTGAGCAAGAAGCTCAGTCAGGATACCTCTTCTTTACTTCACGTCGTTTCAAATGAACCTGAGTTCTTAAATTACGGAAATTATTTTGGCCATTGTCGTGGCCTAAGCTAATTTTTTCCAAGTTGAATTTGGTTTTCAGTTTGGACCATATTTTTCAACCCGTTCAGTTTTCTCTGTTTTCTGAACTATTATGGGCTCGACACGAGTGACCAAAAAGAGCAATAGATGGCAGTCATCGCCACCTGTTGTCAAGGGTATAATTTTAGGTCTACTATAGGGGGGTTATGTTCTAAAACCCTTCATGTCATTTTCAGCAAATATGCTTAAATGTATGTATATGACATTGTGAATTTGTAAATCAGGTCAAAGTTACCTAAAGACAACAAAAGAGTTGCATCTGTCCACTTAACCAGTTCATTTCTATTGTGTTTGAGCAAATTCTGTCGTTTTATTGTATGTGTGTGTGTGTGTGTGTGTGTGGGGGGGGGGGGTTATATTGACTGAATCAAAATACTGTGGGGGTCATAACCCCCCTAACCCCCCTGCAAATTACGCCTATACCTTTCACTATCAACACGTGCGATGCGGTAGCGACAGCAGCATTGTGAATGGTGCTCTCGGGTTGCTCTTCTCCAAGAAATTTGATTGGTTCTTCTTGTAGTTTTTATGGGCATTTGGCAAAAAAACTRACTGTTATGGATTAGAGCCACCAAATGACACAAATAATTAGACTGTATATGAAATTGAAGGGATTTTGACATTTTCAATGCAGTATGCGATTTTCATATTTTATATCACATACTTTATATTTTTATTTTGTATATATATATTAAAAGCAGTTCGTGACTTTCCTATTTAAATGACACTTAACTTCGTGACGTAAGTGTAAAATAAACAGGTCACGGACACAGGTAAAATAATGGTTTTTTTCCATGTTAAAAGTGTTTTCTGACTGCAGACAATGCCCTCCAATTGGACAAGTCTTCTGTTGTTGACATCTTTTAATCAGTTTGTAAATAAAAAGTTTCTGCGCTGCTATATAGTCATAAATCCCTCTATCAAACTCAAATGGGCCGCTCTGAAAGCTGGAGGGGGCCGGGGTGTAAAGCACCTCATTCGGATTTAAAAAGACAGCCTCAAAACGAGTTGATCTGAGACACACCTCAGAAAGGGGCGGGGCTTGTGGAGTTACAATAAGGAGGAATTCAGACCAAAGCATTGCAGTTCCACTTTATAATCAGCTTATATCAACTAGAGAGCTGATAGATATATTGAAGTTAAGATACAGAAGCAACCTAATGAGATGATCTAAAACATCAAGGTCTACACATAGGACTAACAACGCTTAGTTAATGTTATTTAGAAAGGGTTTGTACATTGAAAATGATTCTGACATCATTTGTTTTGCAGCAGAGAAGCYGTTGCGGTCCCAAAATGGGAAACAGACAGCTGTGGACAAGGTCTTAAGGGAGAGCTGGCAGCCTTCGATCCATCTGGATGGAAGACCTGTGGATCGCTTCGTCATGAGCTCCAGCAAACCCAGCCGTTCCCACCGCTTCAGTAAAGTCAGCAAGGACACTCGCTCGCTTCCGTCAGAGGATGTTGGTAAGACAAAGTTCAAATGAGAAGGTGAAAACACCAACAGCAGGGAGTCACAAGTGTCTGATTGTGAGCAGAAAAAAAGGTCACTGAGAGGAAATTAATACACAGGTTTGGCTTAAAACACGAAGTGAGCTTTCCAATCGCAGAGTTCTCCAGTTTCTCACAGCAGGAGCCAACAGGGATGAGCAAATCTGTATACAAAGTGTGCATGAGTTCATGTGATTAATTTMTTTTCCATGGATTAATTCATAATTGGATGCACTATTGTTGAAGTTTGCCAGAAAGAAAAACACTGTAGAAGGYCAGAAATGGTATACGTGGGCAGGCAGAAGATATTTCTGACTTAAAAATAMAAAAAAAGTTCAGTAGCTTTTGTCATAATTCTTACTCTGATCTTGTAAAGCCTAGTTTGGGTTCTGATGTCTCTGTACACAAAAAACAGTAGTCTTCATTGTTAAGACAGCGCAGCCTGCTTTTGTCATTATTCCATTTTCTTTGGTCTTTGGCATCTGAGAGCCATACTTCATCAGCTTCTAAAAGTCCACAGCCAAGCCTTTTCCAAACCCAGCCCTGCTCTTATAACCCAATCCTCCGTTTGTGGTTACTTGTTATGAGCATGTGCGCAATATAAGTGTGGGTTGTGGTGAAAGCTAAGGGTGGTTCAGAGCAATGAAGTCATGCATTGTCATGTATTGTGTCCCTTTTTTGTTTAAGAAGAAATAAAAACACCCATACACGTCTGTGTGTGTGTGTGTGTTGTGTGTGTGTGTGAGTGTGGTGCCCAGTGAACATTGTGGCAGCCCCCTGGTGGCGTCTGCAGCTCCGTTGGCCATAAATCTAAGCTCAGTCACGGTGTTGCCTCTCCAGAAATTCCTCCGGGTTCACGTGCTGCTTCCCAAACGGCCCGAGACCTGCATCGCTCATCGTAAATAACGCCGCTCACTTTGCCTTTACGCCATTAACGTGTTGGGCCAACTGCAGTAGAAAAAAACAAACAACGAAAACGTTGATCTGTTACAAGAAGATCCAAGTTGGACAGGAACAAGAGAAGATTAAGAAAATCAACTCATTTATATATATATATATGTGACCCATCATATCAAAATAAGGATTAAGTCAAATTTATTCAAAATTACCGAACTACATTTTCAGATTCCAGGCTTTAAAAGCTACATTTTGATACCTGCATCATCCTGACATCATAAGTGGATCCAGGGAGATGACTTAATTTGTCTTGTTGGTTACAATAATACATTACTGTTTGGTCTGAAT